TTAGATGCTATGTTCGCTATCTTAGATGCTATCTCATCACAATACACGAGCCCAGCTCGTGCACTTTTGTGAAGCCTCTATAGGCGTTGCCCGCCGACTACAACTAATACGTTGGCCTCGCAAACAGATGTGCACAACCGACGAATATTTAAAATGTTGCGCGATGGTGCGACATGATGCTAGATGATGCAAGGCCCTTGCAACTAAGATACATCTCCCACGAAGAACTGGTAGCATCTAACAGCTGCGCCGCCCAACTAGGCTCCCCCCGACCCCCCTCTTCCAAGGGATGGGGGGGGGCCCAAACCCTCCCCCACCCCGCCCCCCGGCGCCAGCGCTGGCGGCGGCCAGCAGCGCCAACGGCGGGGATGCAGCGACCAAGACCAGAGAAGGCCCAGGGGGAACCACCACAAACCACCACGCCACCACCACCATCACCACCACCGCCACCACCACCACCACAACCCACCACCACCACCAACACCACCACCACCATCACAAACCACCACACCACCACCACCTCCACCACAACCACCACCACCACCACAACCACCACCCACCACCAACTACCAGCCTTAGCACAACCACCAGCAGCAGCACCAACACCACCAACACCACAGCCCACCACCACCACCACCACAACAAACCACCACGCCACCACCACCACCACCGCCACCACCAGTACCACCACCACCATCACCTCAACCCACCACCACCACCGAACTACCACACAACCACCACCACCACAGCCACCACCACCAACACAACCACTCACCACCACCACCATCACCACAACAACCCACCACCACTACCACCAGAACCACAATCTACCACACCACCACCACCACCGCCACAACTACCACCACCACTACCAGCACCACAACCCGCACCACAACCCACCACCACCGCAACCCCCCCCACCACCACAAACCACCACACCACCACCACCACCACCACAAACCATCACCAACCACCACTACTACCACCAGCACCACGACCAGGACCAGCACAACCACCAGGAGCAGCCTCACCATCCACCACCACCACCACTACAACCACAACCCACCACCACCACCTGCACCACCAGAAACCACCGCACCACCACCACCACCACCGCCAGCACCACACCACCACAACCTTCTACCACAACCACCACACCAACCACCGCCACCACCACCACACCACCACCACCACCACAACCGCCACCACCACAACAAGCCACCACACCACCACCACCACAACCACCACCACCACCACAACCCGCCATCACCACCACCACCACCACCGCCACCACTACAACAACTCACCACCACCACCACCACCACCACCACAACCCACCACCACCACCAGCACCACCACCAGGACCAACACCACCACCAAGAGCAGCACCACCACCCACCACCACCACCACTACCACAACAACCCACCACCACCACCACAACTACCACCTCCACCACCAGAAACCACCGCACCACCACTACCACCGCCACCACCACACCACCACAACCTGCTACCACAACCACCACAACAACCACCACCACCACACCACCACCACCGCCACCACCACCACCACCACCGCCGCCACAACCACCACCACCACCACAGCTCACCACCACCACCACGTCAGAGAGGCCCCAAGAGACACCCGACAGGCGCCGCAAATGCCCTTCAGAGGCCCCCGAGAGCCCTCCGGCGAGACCCCAAGAGGCATCCATTAGGACTCTGACCCAGAACAAACGCACCATGGCGGAGCGTTGTCGTCGTCGTCATCGTCGTCGCCGTCGTCCTCGTCGACGCCTCCCGCCGCCGCCGCCAGCCGCCGCAGGCGCTGGCGCCGGCCCAGAAAAGGAAGTCGTCGCCTTCATCGACACTCCCCGCCGCCGTCGCAAGCCGCCGCCGACGCCGGCGCCGACCCAAGGAGAGCGAGAGAGGAAAAGTAGGGGAGGGTGCGGGAGGGGTCCGGTTCTAAACCCCGCCTCCTCCTCCAAGCGACCACAAACCGCGCTCTTTCAAACATAATTACCCCAGTGCGACCCTACCTAGAAGTTGGAGCCCCAAGGAAAGCAGCATTAGTGCTATGCTATGCTATGCTATGCCATGCTATGCTGCGCTATGCTATGCTATGCTATGATATGCTATGCTATGCTATGCTGCGCTATGCTATGCTATGCTATGATATGCTATGCTATGCTATGCTGCGCTGTGCTATGCAGTGCTGTGCTGTGCTGCGCTATGCTATGCTATGCTGCGCTATGCTATGCTATGCTGGGCTATGCTATGATATGCTATGCTACGCTATGATATGCTACGCTATGCTATGCTATCATGTACTCTGCTATGCTAAAACTCAGCGAAGCTAAGATGAAGGTAAGCTAAGCTAAGCTAAACCTGAGCTAAGATGAAGCTAAGCTAAGCTAAGATGAAATACGCAAAGCTAAGATGAGATAAGCAACGCTAAACTAAGGGGACGTAACTGGGGGAACCGCGGGGCGGATGCCGGGGGAACCGCCCGGGGCGGTTCCCACTGCCCGGCCCTTTAAGCACAGAGAGTAAGAACCCTTCTAGGCAGAGCCTAGGTAGGGAAAAACTCGGAGGTCCGCACGGATTCCTCGGATCGGCGCTGGACCCCGTCGAGGAACAGGATGGTGTCGCACCTGAGCCCTATGGAACCATCTTGATGCAAGGGTGAGGGAGGCGGGGCGAGAGGGGACGGCGGGGGGAAGAAACAGGGGGAAGACATCGCCAAGCTCTTGATGGCTCGCGGGGGCATTGCCACTTGAGCCAAAATTGCTACGGAAGGAGGGGGAAAGGAGCAGGAGGAGCAGGAGGAGGAGGAGCAGGAGGAGGAGGAGGAGGGGAGGAGGAGGAGGAGGGGAGGAGGAAAAGGAGGAGGAGGAGGAGGAGCAGGAGGAGGAGGAGGAGGAGGAGAAGGAAAAGGACGAGAAGGAGGAGGAGGAGGAGGAGGAGGAGGAGGAGGAGGAGGAGCGGGGGGAGGCTGTCCCCCCGAATTTGTCAATACGCTGCAAATCTGGGTGTTCTGGATGGGGCGCCCTGCGGGGCCAGGCCCGCCGCCCCCAGCACAGGGGTTTGCCTCCACTGGGGAAAGCGGATGCTATCCCAGAGGACCTCCAGTTGCTAAACTAAGCGGTGGACCCCTGAAGAGCGATGCAAGTCTTATCAAAACATCTGAGCAGTATGAGTGTACTCAGCATGTTATGCTAAGCCACTCTGGTGGTAATATGGTATGCCGGTCACTTAAGAAACCTGAGCACCAATGACCACCATCGCCGAGGTCGGGAACTTTTCCCCTCGGCGGAGACACGCGGCCGACATTGGCCCAGACATGCGACGCCCTGAATGTTTTATCCGCGGTCCCTGGGAGTCCCGAGAGGCTTTCCTGTCCCGAGCCGTTTTTTGACGGCCCCGGGGCCTATCGAGGGCTTCGGAAGGCAAACAAAAATTGCAAACATGCCGTCCTGAATCACTGCGCCGCGATCGTGTCTGGCGGTTTTGGCGTCAACCCCAGACCCCGACGTCGTGATTTTGTTCGCAACGTCGACCCCCAGAGGTCTGGACCCCTTCCCCGTAGCCGGTTTTCCATCCTGAATCCTTTTTTGACGGCCTCGAAACCCGACGAGGGCCCCTGGAGGCCCAAAGTGGCGAAGAGCTCCCCGTCGAGATTTTTGGTGGACGGCGCGACGGGGTCTGGGACCTCTGCGCCCCCGAAATTCTGGATTGGGCCTCCTGGGGGCCGGGCCCGGCGCCCCCAGCGCCGCCGCCAGCGCCGCGGCGCGGGCGCCTCGCCCGGCGCCCGGCATGTCGCCCGCCCGCCGCCCGCGCGCCCGCGGCCGCCCGCGCTGGGCGGTCCGCGCGGCGCCGCCCAGGGCGGGAGCTGCTCCCCCTCCTGGCTCGTGGCTCGTGGTTCTCTCGCTCCTCCTCGCTCCTCCTCCTCCTCCTCCTCCTCATCCTCCTCCTTCCTCCTCCTCCTCCTCTCCTCGCTCCTCTTCGCTCCTCCTCTCTACTCTCCTCCTCCTCCTCCTCCTCCCTCCTCCTCTCCTCCTCCTCCTCGCTCCTCCCCTCCCGCTCCTCCTCCGCCTCCTCCCCTCCTCCTCCTCCTCCTCCTCCTCCTCCTCCTCCTCATTCTCTCCTCCTTCTCCTCCTCTCACTCCTCCTCTTCGCTCCTCCTCCTCCTCCGCCTCCTCCTCCTCCTCCTCCTCCTCCTCTTCCTCCTCCTCTAAGGGGCCTCCTCGTAAAGGTCGCGCATTCGCTCGTGAGGTGATGTAGATTTCGCCAGTCTTGGGGGTGAACAAATTTCAAATAGAGGGCATCGTGGAGGGCGTGAGGAAAATTGGAGCGTGCCCTCTAGTGGGCGCGGCACAGTGCGAGTGGAAAACAATGCGTTCTCTGGAGGGCCTTCTGTGAAACAAACGCCGGTATTGAACAAATCGCGACGCAGGAGGTCGCGGTGGGAGGAATTGCAGACACGCACGGGGATCAGAAAGCGGTCGATCGCATTTCTGCCCCTCGGCCACAGATAACTTCTGTAAGAGGTCAAATCCATCCTCCTCCTCCTGCTCCTGCTCCTCCTCCTGCTGCTCCTCCCCCCAATGGGGCCGATCGACGGGAAGACCTTGAAAAGTTTATGTTTGCCGTATCTTTCTCTCCCGATCCCCTTCCTGGTCTGGCCAGGCACGGTGTCGGGGACGACTAAGATGCGGATTCAGAAGCAAGCGGGGACCAAGTTGGGCGCGTGGCAGAAACTCACACCTATGGGGAAGCAGCCACCACTTCTGGGGGGAAGGCCCCGAGACAGCCTGGACAAGACATCCTTCCCCGCCTTGGAACCATGGCGCCCCCCGAAGGTGGGACCAGGGCTCGAAATACGCACGGGGGCCGACGAATAAGACGGTTCTCTCCGCCACCGCTGCTCTGGTCCGGGCGCGCGCCATTTCTCAACGGCGCATAGGCACGGTCTGTAAGTGTCTCTACCAACCGAAGAA